AAAGGGTGATCTATGATCAAAGTACAAGTATCAACCAATTTTATGGCGAAATTGTCCGACATTCCAATTCCAAAGAAGAAACCCGAACAACGAACGTGGAAGTTGAATCGTCGGGAGATATTGGCTCATGAGCAGGTATAATATTAACAAGCCCGAAAGGGTATCAATTGAATTGTACATTAAATTTTGAGTTTAAATCAACCAAAAATGTGGTTAGGAATGAAAAAATATTGGTGAGCCTACAGTTGGCAAAAGAAATATAGATGCAGAATATTGAGATAAAAAATGACTCACAATTAGTAGTAAACCAAATAAATGGTACGTTCGCAACTAATGATAAAATAATGTTGCATATCTCGCAGAAGTCATAAAGAGAAAAATAAGCATGCAGATGCCTTATCAAAGCTGGCAAGTTCAAGAGACATAGAGTAATTTAAAACAGTTCCATAGAATTGCCACCAAAACTATCAATTAGCTAGAAAATGAAGAAAATCTTATGGATATAGTATAAAACTTCGTGGGTGCAAGACATCATTTCTTATTTGAGGGATGAAGTACTCCCGAGGACAAAAAGCATTACAAAAATTGCGAATAAGAACTGCTAGATACTTAGGGGCCATTTGAGCCTCATTATTTGTAGATTATAATGAGATGAATAGTATTTTTTTGAAAAATAAGTGGTTGAAAAGTTTTTGATTTACGTGTAATATTATTTTATTGAAGATTGTGTGTTTAAAAGTAGGAGAGAGAAAAAATTAATTTAATGTAATGAGAAATAATGGGGCTCAAACGGGGGCTTAGTGCCAAATGACATCTTATTCAAATGAGGGTACACACTCTACTTGAGGTGCATAAGCGAAGATAAAGCTTTATACGTAATGAAAAAAATTCGTGAAGGCGTATATTGTAATCATGCTTCTGGACTCTCCTTAGCACGAAAATCCTTAAAATTGGGATATTATTGACTTAATATGAGAAATGATGCAATGAAGTTTTGCCAAAAAATGTGATGTGTCAAATGTACGCGTTCAATCCTCAACAACTCGTACAAGAACTGGTAACAAGCAGTGATCCATGGCCTTTTACCAAATGGGAAATCGATTTCAGTGGACCATTACCCAGGTGAAGATCTTATATGTTATCTATGATGGTGGAAGTGGATTGTGTTTTTAAGTGGGTAAAAGCTGAACTCTTTGTAAACATTACCAAGGAAAAGACTTGTAAGTTCATATGGAAAAATATTATATATTGATTCAAAGTACCCAACTCAATAATTGTAGATCACTAAACACAATTTCAAGGGAAAAAGTTGAAAACAATGTGTGATGAGTTGGGTATTCCACTCCATATGAGGCAAGTAGAAGCTGTCAATTGAACATTCAAAAATATCTTAAAAAGGAAACTCGATTAGACGAAGGGATTACAGGCTGATAAATTACCAAAGATTTTATGGGCATATTGAACCACCACAAAGACCATCAATGGAGACACCCCTTTCTCCTAGCTCATGGAATGGAAGCCATGGTACTAGTAGAAATTGGTATAAGTTCGACAAGAAAAATAGGGAATGATGAAGACCAAAATGAAAAATCCATGAACGTGAGCCTAGACCTCTTAGAGGAAAAGAGAGATAATTCCCAAGTTAAGCTTGCAACATACCAGAATAGGATAGAAAAATATTTCAACACTCATGTTCACAAGGAAAACTTCAAAGTAGAGGGCTTAGTCCTACAGAAAATATTTGTCACAAACAGAGAAATGAATCCCACCTCGCTGGGTCAAAATGGGAAAGACCATATACTATAATTGCGGTTGTAGGAGCAGGAACATATAAGTTCTAGAAAAGATGGTGAACCCCTTAAAACATCCTTGGAATGGCATGTACTTGAGAAGGTAATATCAATAAAATGAGAACCAATTCTTGTGAACTGAATAGAGTTAATATTATTCACAAATTAAAAGTTCCGTTTTGTTACATGAGGCCAATTGAGTTGGTTTAATATTTACTTTGCAAACTGATGAGTGATT